GGGGAGAGCCGGGCATGGGTTAGTGGGGAAGGGACATCTCTGGGCATGGGTGAGTGGGGGGATCCCCCCTGGCTATGGGGGAGTGGGGCCTCAGGGCTGCGGGGGAGTGGGCAGCACTGGGACCCGTAATTGGTGGCAGGCGTGGGGACACCGGAGGGTGCAAGGGAGTAAGGGCTGCCAAGATCCCCAGCTCCCCTGGGAACTCTGAGAGATGCAGGAGAGAGGGGAACTTTGGGATTTCCGAGTCCCCCAGGGGACCCTGAGGTTGTGGGAGAGGGGGGGATCTCCAAGACCTCCAGCTCTCTGAGGAAGTTCGAGCCCTTGCGTCCTTCTCTGGGGTGCAGGAATGTGGGAATTGCCTGTCCCCCCTACCACCTCGCCCAGCAGAGTGCTTTTGGTGGTGGTCTTTGGGGTCTGTGTCCCTTCCTCCCTGGGAGCACCCTAGCCAGATTTGTCCCTTGCCAGGGCTTGTCTTGGGGCACCACCCCCCTGCCATGCTCAGGGAAAGCATCAGTCCTGCTGTGCTAACCCCCAGGAGGGACAAACATCCTCCTGCGCTGCCCCAAGGGAGGGTGTCCCTGGAGGCAGGTGGGCAGCAGCCTCCATCACACCATGCTTTGCCCCCAGCTTGCTCACAGAGACCGAGGGAGAGGGTGCCGTTGCCACGCACTGCCAAGATGCTGGCCACCAAACAGCCCCGGGCAGGCAAGGCAGGCCCTGCTACAGAGAATGTCGACCCTGAGAAGGTGAGCACCCAGCCAAGCGAGGGCTGTCGAGCCCCTGTGGGGCTGCTGAGCACCATCTTCTAACAGCCTCCATTGCAGGAGGAGAGCTCTCACGCCAAGAGGTCTTCATCCTCACCCCAGGGTGGGCCCAAGAAGAGATCAGCCTTTGGAGACCTCACCAATGTGAGTGCTTCTGTGAGGGTGGGGGCTCTGGTGTGCCCTGTGAGCTCCCCGTGGTGGGGGGCACACCCCATGCCCATGAGGAAGAGGAGGGCTCTCCCTGCAGGGCACACCTTGCTCTCCACCGTGCAGCCCCTGCATGCCCCTGTTGTGACCCAAACAGGCTCGCAAGAACCAGGTGGTGGCAGGCAAGAAGGAGGCTGTGAAGGTTGCTCCACCCAAGGCACAGAAGACACATAATGCCTTAGGGATAGCCAAGAACAACGAAATCAACCTTAAAAAGTGAGTAGCTGGTGGCAGGGGTTTGCTGCAAACTTGTCCCATGGGGACAAGTAATAGGGGCTTCCTTTGGGTGATGGAGGCTGAGCCAGATGCAGGAGGGAACAAGTATAGCTATTATAAATGGCATTAGGTTGTGGCAGGGGAGGGTTAGGTTGGATATGAGGAAAAATTTCTTCCCCAGAAGGGCTGCTCAGCCCTGGCACAGGCTGCCCAGGACAG